GGAAAGAGCCCAGCTTTGAAGCTCTTGGTGACCTCCAGCATCAGCTGGACTGCTCTGACATCCCAGATGTGTCCTTCCCTGGTGTCACAGTTACCAGGGAATCCTCCTGGAAACAAGGATTGAGGTGATGCTCTTTATGTAAAGTGAGGCTCCTCATATGGCACATCTGTCCATTATAAAACAGCAACAAAGAAACTCCAAAGCCCAGCAAAAATAATGACACATAAGAAACCAAGCAACACTTTTGCGTGTTTTTGGATTCCTAAGAGATATTCTGAAAACTATGCCAAAAATAGACTGGTGAAGGACTGCCCTGCTTACAGCATGGGTATAGTTTAGTGGTGGTTTTCTGTAACCATTACAGGATTATGCAATTTGGCATGTCAGAACATATCAGCATGAATTTGGAGGTGAAGGAGAACATAAGAGGAGAACAAAAAGGCTTGCATACAGTTTTTAGCATGGTAAGTACATTAGCACATTCTTCCAAAATGAAATTGGCCTACTTTTTGCCTTAGGTAGCTGGCTTTGGGCATTGATAGAATGTGGGACCAGGACTGATCTAAGGGAGTAGTGTTACAGCCACTGAAACAGCAGTGGTGGCTTTGCTGCTGTGCTGTGTTGAGATGCTTAACTGAAAATGAGAGAGGGAGAAGGGTGGTTTCCAGTACTCCTGTGGGATCCCTGCATGACCTTCCAGAGGCTCCATAACTGGTGCATCCTTGTGTTACAGTGTGCTTCAGTACTCCATGGTGCTTTGAGGATTCATTTATGAATGAATGCAGCAGTGGGGCCTTAGGAGTTTATCATTGAGGAATGCAGGGAAAAAAGCATATGTATTGAAATCAATAGTTGTTGAAACAGGAACTTTCACCTTACTTCTGGGCTACAGAAATGTGCTCGTACGTGCAACTCCTCAACATCCAGTAATGCTGCCTGCCAATGTGTAGTCCTCCCAGCAATGGTCTTCAGCTGAGGTCCTTGACTTGCTCTTTGCTTTCATCTGCACCTTCCTTTAAGGAGGCTTGAATTGCTTTTTGGTGGTACCGACAAAATATTTGTTTCTGCCCCTCCACACTGTATTTTAATTGTATTTTCTTTTCTATAAACTTTACAGATAGACTCTGGGCTGAATGGTGACACAAATTAGTTTTTATAGTCCTCCCTCCTTTTTTACTTCTCTTGTGGTTTCATCTTTACTAATTGCATCATGACTAAATTCACTCTTCATTTGGACTGTATTTGTATGTGTTGCATAACTTTTTGCATTTTCTGATGTATGGAGGTACAGAAATCGTATGTGGAGCTGGATGGATTCAGTTGCATGGTCTGTCTTTGGAAGGTTTTTTGCAAAGCTAACTGAAAAGAGACTTCTCTCTTTGAGAGAGCACAGACATAAAGAATCTGAAAATAGGGTATTTTAGTGAAATTTCTTCATGGAATCATCCTGGTAAGAATGCATGATGCAGGTGTTCAGATAATGCCTAGGGAAGTCGCTTCCCTGCTTTAGCTTGACAGTATTTTTATGAATATACTGAAAGAAGGGGGATGAAATTTAAACTGTGGCCAGGTTGAAAGGATAAAGGAATAGTCATAATTTTAGTAAATGTATGAGTTGGAAGTTACTTTAGGTGGGTTGCTAGAAAAAATTAACACTGCTGACACAGCTGTACTTGTTTCTGTTTAATGCTGTTTGTTGAAAACTTGTTAATTAACATTTTGAAATAATGTTGTATGTGCCTTTTTATAGGACATTTGCATTTGAAACTGATAATACAGTCTTTAGTTTGTTGCATAGTGCGGACAGTGCTTGCAGCCTTTGTGTTTCTTGTTATGGCTTTAGAAAGTACATTCACTGCTTTTGTTTTTAACATCACAGTATTGCATAATTCATTACACGTCCTCTAAGTATTTCCTGCGTCTCCATTCTTTTAATTAGTCTCAAGGTTTATTAAAAGTCTTCAATATCTGATTTCTCTCTCTTTCTTTTTTTTTTTTTACCAATCCTGATTTATTCAGACTTAAAATTTTAAGCCTGATCTAGCGTGGATAAATTACTGGGAGGAACAATTAATGTCTAATTAAGTGAAATTTGTTTTAAAGCTGGGCTTGTGGGAAATTTAAACGTAATACAGAATGATGTCCTGCCCTTGTCGCCTAGCTGACACAATATTTAGCTGTGGTAGATCTGTGGATGTGTCATGGCTAGTTTCTTCAGTGGAAGAACGTGGATATCCTAGTTTTTTGAAATTATGTGCTTTTAGCAAGATGGTACAAATTCTGTCCCTTATTCTTCCAATTGTTTTGGCTGATAATGACTTTTCAGCCTTATCGCTATCTGGACAAATTCTACTTGGCTCTTTACCACCTCTGTCATTTTCTTCAGTCTCAGTGCCAATTTGGCTGAATTGTTGCTTGCCAGATTTTATCTTGAGGAACACCATTCTCTTAGTTATTCCTGTACCTAAAATTCAGATAAATCCAGAATATTTAGCCTTCGAGTTTTTGTATTTGTTTTCAGTCTGTATAATGCAATTTACCACTTGTTTTGCTGCATTAGTGTATACCTTGGCAAATTTTCTGTAACTAAATGTGGTTGAAGATTCTTATGAACTTTTTGCCCATGTTAAATCTGTTTTACTTCACCAGTCTACATATTTGTTTAAAACTGTTCTTTGAATATTCAGACACATGCATGTGTGGAATGACTAATATGTAGCATCATAAGATGGTTAGCAGCTGAAATTTACTGTGTGATTACAAGTGAATATTCTTGCTATTCACTTTTAAACCTGAGCATCTTCTTTAGTTTTACAGCTTTTTAGAATCCTCTTTCCTTTCCAGTCCTTTGAAGTACATTGATACTATTATATATGGCTGAACTATTCAAATAAAGATACTAAAATTAACACAAAAAGGAATACTTTTCAATACTTTTCTTCACTGTCTAAATTAGTGTTTTGTTGTCACACTTCCTTTCTAATTTGGCACTTACTTAACCTCTCTGATGCCACTTTATTCATACTGGTAAAAATCAATATTGGTATTTTAATAAACAGTTGATTTATGTAGTCATTTTAAAATTGCACAAAACCAAAGTGATCCAGTTTATTTTGCTTTAAAAAAAAATAAATGGATTAGTATAACAGTATCCTTTGTCTGTAGGGAGTTGTTACTACTCTTCTCATTTTACCTCTTTTGTTTAGACACTTTTGAGAGGTACTCTGAAGATTACTTAATAAACTTAACCTTGACAGTTAATAATCTTCAGTGTGTTTGTGTAATAATTGGTTTTATTTTTTGTCTTAATTTCATTTTTCGTTCATGAATGTATTTTGTAATTGACTGTCCAATAATAAGCTTTTTGCCTTTTGAGCTCTAATTAGGATTTTTTTTCAACCTTCCCTACCCCAAAACAGACACATACACCCCAAACTACAAAACCCTGTGCACAGATTTTAATAGAAATTAAAAGTTGGTTGTGTGATAGGTTTTATGTACTAACAAATACTGAATGTTTGATGGTCACTCTGCTGCTATTTGCTTCTGTGGTACCAAATTAAACCTCATCGTTAAAGCTCCTACAGAAATGGAATTGGTAATTAAAACAGAAGTTAACTTCACAAAAAAAGGAACCTTTAGGCCTCTCTGAAATAGAGGCAGGGATGACTTCTTTAGTAGGAATAATTTTTACTGTATTAATTTGAAACTGCTACTTATTTTGATATGAAAACTCTAAACTCAGGTAGTAACAGTCTGTGCAGCAGTGGGAAGGCTTTCGCGGTGTCAAGTATGTTCTCCAACTTTGTAATGTAATGCTTATGGAAAGTCTTTTGCCAAGTGTTTGTATGAACTCATACATCAGCTGTTCATATGGAAAGCTTGCTAATGCTATTTCAGACGTAAGCTGGAAACCCATTTAAATTTGTTCATGCAGACCAGCTTCTAGTATCTGCTGGTGTTATTAGCAAGCTGTATGTAACTTAAAAATATCCCCTTCACTTGATAGACTTGCCTAGAAAGTATTTTCTACCAAATAGGCACTGTCCACCTTTTCACATTTAAAATAAATATCTAATTTACATTTGTTTTTAAACAGACACCGAATCCTTCTGCAAGTGAGTTTATTCCTAAAGGAGGATCAACCTCCAGGCTGAGTAATGTATCCCAGTCAAGTATGTCTGCCTTCTCTCAAGCCTTGTTCTCTCACCCCTCCATGGGAAGTCCTGCTACTGCTGGACTAGCACCAGGTAAGTTGAAAGTAATGATTTGCAGTACGGTTGCTTCTTTTAACTTAATGTTAAACATAACATGGTAGTGATCAGTTTTATTGGGTGTAAGTGTAGCCATCTCCTGGTTTAGTTCTTTTGACAGTCTTCTAGCATATAAAAGTGCAGAAACTTAAGATTTACCTTCCAGTATTACCGAAATCACACTGCAGGCTGTGAAACCTGTTTATTCAACACTGAAATTAACTCAGCCTAACTTTTGCTCTGATCTTTTTTGGGGAAAAGGGATGCTGAGTTATCACATACTGTGCTCTATGCATTCTTTGCCAGAGCAGTACATTAAGATAATTTAAGCTACCCCTTGCCTAGAAATGCAGTGCAGTCTACAATAGATATGTGCTCTGATTACCACACATTGATCTCCTCTTTTGATTTGTTTCTAGAGTATATAATCTAGTAGTAATTATATTCAATGTTAACGAGAATATGAGAACTTAAAAATCTTAGTGAAAAACAAAGTGGAAGATAAACTTTTTCTAAAATAATTTGGCTTGCAAAATAGTGTTTGTTGTTATTGTATCTGTTGGATGTAATCTAACTTGTAAGACCAATTTGATTATTTCTCACATTTAAGACTCTTACTAAAATGTGTTCCATGCAGCCATACAATTCTGAGTGACTTTTTTTTTTTACACTTAAAAAGTTCAAGCTCTTCATGCATCTGTAGGACTTTGGATCTTCAAAAGTTAGCTTAATTCTAATAAGTTTTTTAAAAACAAACATGGAATAGTTTTAAGATAACCATCAGCAGGGCTGGATATTACACATCACAGATCCTTTACCAAGTTTCTGTATGTACTTAAACCTTTGGCAATCTCTTGCGGCAGAAAGGAAGCATTAAGTAGCTGCCAAAAGGCAGAGAGGCAAATATGATAATTGTTTGGTTTTTTATAACAGGTATTGGCAATTACCATCTATTAAACTGAACTTCAGTCTTTCCTGATGCCAGGGGATAAATCTCAGTGTCAGTGAGAAAGAAGCCAGCACTTAGCTTGTATGTTATAACTATCAAAACAGGCTAGGAAAGTAATTGATGCTTCTGCTGACCAGATGAACATGTTGCAGTACTGTCTGATTCATATTATATTGTGCTGTACAGTCTTATTGGAAAACTGTTGTGTTTATATGCTTCTCAGCCTTGTCACCTGAGTTGAAAAGTGTATAAAGGATTAAATAGAATTCAGTAAAATGATCTACTTTTGGAAAGTGTCCAGTGGGGTCTCGGAGGGATCCTTCACAGTCCAATTTCTTTACTATCTGTAAGTAATACTTGAAAGGATAAGTAACACTGTTGATGAAAGAAATTCATAGGACAATTTGAGCTCCTAGAAATAGGGATGCCAATGTTGGAAACTATCTAGGTTCAAATACTATTGTTTATGGATGAAAGGGACGGGGGAGTATTTACAAGAGCTAACTTCAGGTGAAGTTGGCTTGTTTCCCTGCTCTTTCTGTATAATTAAAAATAGAATATAGTTTGGAGTAAGGATATGGGCTGGGTGCTCTCAATTTCTCTACACTGAGTGCAGGATTATCTGAACCTAAATGTCCTGTGTAAATAATACTCAGACATTTATTTTTTATTTAGATGGTTTAGCGGTCAATAGTTTACATCCACAAAAACTTCTGTCCCTCAAGGTGAGTTAGGAGGTACTCTTTCTAAAAGATTAGGCTCTTAAATAAGAAAGCAGTGTTTATGTGTAGGGAAAATTCACCATTTAGGTCACACTGGATAACGGAATTAAAAAAAAATTAAATATGTTCTGAAATTTTAATTAAAAATTATCGTTGGGATCTGTTAGCTTTCAATAAATGAAAACAAATTCAAGTGAAACCCATGTAAAGAGTATAAGAATTTTCATTTAAATAAAGGTAAGTATCCTTCCAGTTAAATGGTGTATATTCTCCAGTAGAATAACTTTCAGGAAACACATGTAAGATTTAAGCATTTGCACAAGGTTAAGATTGCTTTTAGTAGCTTATGGAGTACTGGAGGAAATAAGTATTCTGTAAGAAATAAAGAAATGTGGTAGCAATAATTTATTAAAAGTTCCATAGTTTAATTCACTCATAACAATCCTTTGATTTCTATCTCAAGGATGGAAAAAAATAAGTTCTTTTGCATCTCTGATATTTCCCTAAAGGTAGGTGTAAATCAAAACCACTTTTAACACGTAGTATTTAATAGATAACTCTTCATACAATTGATTGTCCCTGGAAAAATATTTGTTCAGCCTATCAACAGTACTGTAGAAATACAGGAAAAAATGACAACTGAAACCTAGCATACTTTAATTGATAACTTCTTGTATCCATACCTGACATATTCATTAGGGCATAGCATGGAAGAAGGTTACTCCTACTTTTACATGTAAACTTACCTTACTTACTTACCTTTTACTTAGGTAAGTGCTTTCTGGCATAATCTCAGAGAGTCAGTCTTCATCTCAGTAACCTTTAATAGGATACAAAAACATACTGAGATAAAATGTGACTTACACAAATAGCTGGAGAAAATTGTCCTATTGAAGATCTTTGAACTGATCTCCTTCACCCTCTCCAAACCTTCTTTCCTTAAGCTCCCCTGGATAATACCCTGTTTTTGCTCCTTCCATTCCCTTCCTAGCAAACACATCCTCTTTATCATTTGTATGGGAAATTTAGTGAGTTGTTGACAATCTTCAAAACAGTGCTTTTGCTAACAAGCTTAGCTTATCCAGTTCTGTGTCGCAGCTTCAGAGTAATAGTGACATTGAAATATGCAGGAAAGCATATGAAAAAAATTCATGAATGTCATTGAAGTGGTAAGGCATCTTTGCTGTGTTAAACTTGAGAGAGAGAACAGATGTAAAGCCCCCAGCAGAAAAAGTCTGTCTGGCTTGGGTTTGCTTAAGCTAGGTTACAGCTGAAAGGTAATGCCTTTTCAGCAATGGAAATGACAGCGAATTGCTGTTGCTTCAATGTTTAGTCCAAGACAAGCTCTGAGCTTATGCAGACTGTAAGAGATCCCATTTCTCCTGCCAGTCTGAACCTGTGGGCTTAGGAGCCCAGAGTGTGAAGGTGATATGCTTGTGTCCAGTTGTCACATCTCCATTGATGACTGGCTATGTGAGTGTAGTTCTCAGAGCTCCTGACTTCAGCTAGAAATAGAGCACTTTCAGCTGTGTTGGTTTGAGTAACCTAATGCACCAAGTGCTTGTTCTGGCCTCTGCTCTGCTGAGAAAGTTTTACAGTCATGTCAGAAAAATACAAGACAGGAAGAAGGCAAAGATTGTAAAATCAGTTTTATCCCAAATAAAATTGAGGAGGAAAATCTTAATGACTCTAAAGTTGTTTAGGGCATTAAGCAGATTTTATTAACTTGGAAATACACAGCTATAATGCTAATGACCTGATAGAGAGCTTATAATAAAAATATGTAGTGAATTTAAGGATGCTGCTTAAAAGAAGCGTTATTTACTTTGTTTAGTCATTCCTTAGAACATACCTTGTTGTCTAGAATATCTGTGAAGTAAAAAGCATTGTAGTAATAAAATGGTAAATGTTTAATTTTTGACCTCTGAATGTGTTATGAGTCTGAGGCATAGATATGATTGTAGATGAGTAAATGTGTAGGCAAAGGTAAGCAAGTATGTATAGAACGCTTATTGGATTCCTGTGGGTTTTTTAAAAAAAGTATTTGTGTTGTAGCCCAGCTGATTTGTATACATTTCAGTTATAAACTTCCACTGAATCAAACAAAACCTGTGAAAGTGCCCTTTTCTCACAGTAGATTAAGAATGTATTCATGTTTTAGTCTTATTGAAAATGTAACCATCTATGTAGTAGCTATTGAAATATTTAACTGTTAGTCACTGAAGGCAACTTCTACCTTATTGGAAACTTTCTTTTGTAGCATAAACCAGTGGTATCACAATGCATAACATTTTACAGTCATACAGTTGATCTGTAAATAGATTTTTAGGAGACTACTTAGGTTACCATTGCTTTAAGAATGAAACATTCAGAAGTGCCTATTATTATAATTCACATTTTTTTAAGTTAATAACACTAATCAGCAAGCAATTATTCCACAATACTGCTTATCTGTAAGGTGTGTGTACACACACACACGTACTTTTATTAATGTAAAGTTCTGGTCCATAAAAGTCTAGACATTATTTTTATAATTTTCATATTCTTATATGTTATATGGATTTTTTAATAAAAAGAATAAATAACTGAAGAGACCCAACTAAAGAGAACAGCATAAGATTTTCTTATGGTTTACATTAAAAAAAATCTTTTTTGTTTTGTTGGAACTATTCACTGTTCAAGAACAAGAGAGATAATTGTGCTGAATTAATATACATAGTTTTTGAGATGTCAAAGAAGTAAATGATTGGAGCTAAATGAAAGGTCGCTAATATTCAGTTAATATCATTAGGATAGTGTATCTTCAAATCATTTTTCTCTAACTACTGAGTAGACTGTTAATACTAACATATTTATTTGCTTTTGAGTTTGTTTAGGAAAAAAAAAGTTAATGTAAGGTGGATGTGACTACTGTAGAGAAGATGCGAATGTAAAAACACTCCTATACGTTACTGATGATGCATATTGAGAACTCTCCATACAGTAACTTGATTGAAGTAACTAAACTAGCTCCAGGTTGTTTTTGTTTTTATTACTCGGGTATTTGCTTGAATTACTTCCTTGTATAAGCTCTGGTTAGTATAAATGGAAGAAATTTGTGCAAATGGCTGAGTACCAACTAACTGAATTCTTAATTAGAGAAGAATTCTCAGCTGTCCGTAGAACATTAAGTATGAAAGTTGTGTTTCTTATATACTTTCAAAAAAAGAATTTAGTGTGACTAATATGATTCTGACTGTTAAAGAGGAGAAAGTACATCCCAATCTGAACTAAGCAACAATATGTTTCATAGATGCTCTCTTTTATATTAATCTGAATATCTAGATATCTAGGATCTTCTACTAGTAATACTAGGAGTTTTCTGAAGGGTAATATCTTCCTCACCCCGTAAGTTTTCCTTGACATCTAAACTTCTATAAATAACCATATCTGGGAATTCTGTGTACAATGACTCTTGAACTAAGTAAACTGGGTTTCAGTAACTAGAAGGTGTGTGTGCAGAAGAAGTTGTCTTTGTTTTCCCCCCACTGTTGTACTTTGTTTAGAAGCTGAGCTTCTCAAGTTTCAGTTGAGTTGCCTGCCTAATGTTGAGGGTGAACACCAGTCAATAAAATAATTTTAAATAAATTTTGCAGTCTCAGCATGAATGCCTAACACACTTCATGTTCTGAGAAGTTACCAATCTTTGGATGTCAAATAGATCTCTTGGAGTATGATTTTTTAAAAATGTAATAATTATAGGAAACTAAATAATTTCACCTCTGGAATTACTAAAAGTAGCATATTGTGTATTGCTTATTTGTGTGCTGTATTGTCTGGAGATCTAATTCTCATATTCATAGCCGTGGAGTTGGTTCTAGTGAAAGGTACATGTGTAATCAGGTGAAGGTGTGTTACAGCTTGGCAAACACCATTGACTGCTCATGTAACTGTTACATAAGCACTTACATAGTCATTAATATTTTATATTTTTGCAGTTTAATAAACTCTCTTCTAGACACAGCACTAATTTGATTAATTTCTCCTTTTCTACTACTTCTGTGTCTTTCGTTCCAGTTCTTCATGCATAGATGATAAATTCCCAAGCCCTTTCTCTCTGAACTAAGTAAAGATTTTTGGGAAAATGTATCTGTTCAGTCTTGCTCTTAATTTTTTACCTTTTAAGTCTTCATATAGATGTAGCAATCCTTAAGCATCTCACCTGCTCAAAATATCATCAGTAGTGAAGGCTGTTTTTTATCAATTGCTATTTTTTGACAGATTTGATCAAGACTGTCTTCTTGTGTTTCTTTAAGGAATGTCCCTGTCTGCAGGATCTTCTCCTCTTCATTCTCCCAAAATAACTCCTCATACATCTCCTGCTCCTCGAAGAAGAAGTCATACTCCTAACCCAGCAAACTATATGGTGCCTACTAGTGCCTCTGCTTCTGTCGCTAATGCTGTCTCTCAGCCTCCATCTACTGGCCAGGTGATCCAGAAGGAAACAGTGGGTGGAACAACATACTTCTACACTGATACAACTCCAGCACCTCTCACGGGAATGGTATGTTTGTTTTTGATACACAAGTGTATGGGATTTCCAAATGCTGAATTGGTTAATACTGCAGAGATTATTGTTAACACTCTGAAACCTTTATTCTGTATGGAGATCTGGCTTTTTAATTATTGTAATTGTTCTCCAAAATAACTGAAATTTAAGGACTATAGAATTTTTAATGTGTTTTTCACTTATCTCTGTGTAGAGTTTCATTTTTTTACAGCAAGGGAAAGGAAGCATTTTGTATATCTCGGTGGATACATACATAATGAGAAAAGATAAAAAATTCAGATTGCTTTTTTTCTTCTGATAGGTTAAGTAACTCTTACATTTATAGTAGAGGGGAAAAGGCAATTAAAAATGTTAAACTAACTACATACAACGTGCAAACGCACACACACACACACACCCCCTTGAAATCTTTAGTAGTTAATATTACATAAGGAAATTGTAATGTATATTTGGAATAAATACTGTGGATAAAGATTTCATGGTTCAGTAGTTCAAACTAAAAGGGTGACAAAACACTTTGTTTCTTGTATCCTTAAGGATTTTAAACTGCTTCTTAAAATGTGTTGTTTTCAGGTATTTCCAAACTACCACATTTACCATCCAGCTGCACCTCATGTTGCTTACATGCAGCCAAAAGCAAATGCACCTTCCTTCTTTATGGCAGATGAGCTCAGACAGGTAAGATGATAGAGAATTTAAAGGAAAATCACATCTTTGCAAGAACTAGAAAATTGCTGATAGTAGAAGAGAAATAGTCACTCAAAATCTGTGTAGACAGTTTTCCCTGTGGAGAATTAAAAAAAATATCAAGCCCTGTAAAGGAGTACAACAGAGGGTGGGGGCGTGTTACAACTTACATAGCTGCAATCTAATCTCCATGCCATGATTTGCTATTCAGCTAAGTATTCTTACCACTTGTGTATTGTTTTGGTGTGCGTCAGTTCGTTCGTGTAGCATGAGAAGCTTAAGCTGTAATCCTATCCAGTTTTAAAGTCTTTCACTGAAATGAAAGTATGTGCAGATGTTAGTTACTGAGCCCTTCTCTGAGGGCTGGCTGTGACTGTTATTAATTTCAGTTTTACTATGGTAGATGCCTCTGTCAATGCTAGCTCTAGCTATTGTGGTTTCTGCAGCTCCTTCCTGCAAGAATTTGTGTATTTTGTCCTTAGCACTTTCAGGTCACTGTTCTCCTCCTCCCCGCCCCATCCCCATGAACTCTTGCATCAACTCTCTGTTTTAGTACAAGTAGTTGTTATTTCAAACACAATGTACTGTTAACTCATCAAAAATGATGAGCTGAATTATAATGTTCAAAACTTGACTTATTGTGTTCAGGAATTGATCAACAGACACTTAATAACTATGGCCCAGATTGATCAGGCTGATATTCCTGGTAAGTAATTGTTTCTTCTAAGCTAAGCTGTGATCATATTGTTCTGCAACCATGCATATTCAACAATATTAATAGCATCTTGCAAAAACCACAACCTGTTTTTGATTTTTCATGGAGCTTTAATCGTCTGCCTGGGCTGTGGATACCCAGATACAAAGTGTTTCAAAAATATGCGTTTGCTTCTATTTTCATTTTCTTCTGTAATTTTCTTTTGTTTTGAGACTCCTTAATGGTTGAGAGTACTTAAAATTGCTGAGAAAGGAAAAATCATTAAGGCAATAAAGCCTTGTGAAAAACAGTATTGTATTACTCTGTACATATTAGGTATTTCTTTAAAGGATGCATATATTTTCAAAGGCTGTATATAAACTACCAACTTAGTTTGTTTTAGAGTGAATTGGGTGGTATATCAGAGAAGACTTTGTACTAGTTGTCAGGCAAAAGAAGTGTATATACTATTCATTGTAGTTTGGCTTTTGGAGAATTCAAAATGACTGTGTTCAAGTTGATTTATACTGGCAAGGGTAATCTCTTTATCTGATTTTTTAAACTTTCATCATCTCTTGCTCCGCGCTCGCGCGCTCCTCTCTCTCTCTCTCTCTCTCTCT